CATGTTGAAACAGTAACACCAAAGCAAAGGTTTCATTGAACTCTGCCAAAACCGCAGCAGCTCTGTGATGACGCAACAGGCAACTGTCATGTGCATTCAGCTACACTTTGACATTTTTAATAGCATAAACAATTGAGTTTGTAATTGGCAATGTTTGAAATAAAGGAACGAATAAAAGGCACTGATTTCCTCTTTGTTGAGTGCCGCCAAAGGAGAAGCGGCGATGATGGTTTTGCCCATGTCCGTTTGGTTCTGTCATGTTACAAATTATCCAGTGCACCACTGGATGCATTTTCAATAAACCGTCAGAAATAAATCATAAATGTGCATCTACTGCTTATCTTTTGGAGTCAACTGCATTTAAGATGGCCACAACAGCTAAGCCCTGTTAACAAACAAATAGGACTATACCTGTCAAGCTGAAGTTTCATGTTTTAGTAGCTGAGGAACGTCCTCATCTCATTCTTCAGGCAATCTTGCATTCTGTGCAAAATGTCATTTCCAACAAAGGTCCTCCAGCTGTTCCCCTGCTTCAACACACCTCATTCACATATTTATATCAGAATTTCATCAATTTTACCAGAAGCTTTTGTTCATTTCAAGAAAAGTGTGTTGAAGCAGGGGAACAGCTAAAACATACAGTGGGACACCCCCGAGGACGAGGGTTGGGGACCATCGTTCCCCGAACTGTTATAGAAGCATGATCCGTAGTGTCCGGGTCGCACGGATCGCCGTTGTTTATGAAATAAAACTGTCTTAATGTACTCAGAAAAGTACGTGACCCCTGACACCCCCAGCCTGGGCTCAATGAGAAAAACCCTGCGAGATACAGAATGAATTATTTCTATGGCGAAACAGCGCCGCTCAGTGGTGAAGCTGCATATTATCTTAACCATGACGTAAATATGTCAATGATTTTAACAGTGGCGTAAACTAGCAACATGAAGATCAGCGGAGATAGAGCACAACCTTTACTAAGTAAATTAAGACGGTTCTTATTCATAAATGGAATTATACTAGTACATTTTCCTTAATCTAGCATATTCAACGGCGATACGTGCGACCCGGAAGTATTCCTTTTAGCGCATGCGCAAATGAGCAGCACTACGGATCGTGCTTCCGTAACAGATCGGGGAATGACAGGGACCTCTGGTTTATCTTCAGTCGTAGACCGAGACCACCGAGGTGCTCCACAGAACGCCACAGGAAGTCCTTCCTCCCTGTGACTAGCATATTTTTCAACTCCTCCCCCTTTTCTACACATAGAACAATAAAATTAATCCTGTACTAGAATAAACACTTTAATGTTTCTGTCTGCACCTGACCTTAATTGTATGCATTTTTTTT